CATCACCACCAACAGCAGCAGCAGAAGCAGCAGCAGCAGCGGCAGCAGCTGAAGCATCAACAACGTTCTCAATTTTCAAGCCATTGCCATAACCATCCACTAACACCAACAACAGAAACCCCACTAATCGTCTTCCATCGTCAGCGGCAATAACAACAAAAGGTATATATGATTGTACAACAACAACAACCACCACCACCACCATCAGCAGCAGCAGCAGCAGCAACAGCACCGGCAGCACCGGCAGTAGCATAAGAAGAAAAGAATTTAGTCAAAAATTAATTAAGGTTTATCCAAACAAAAAAAAGAAAAAAAAACTAGTAAAAATATTTAATACTTATAACGTAAATTTACTGCTTTTTCAATCCCGTCAGTTTTGATCAAATTAAAAAAAAACATTAAGATAAAAATCTTATCGATTCGGCCTTCTCTTTTTCTTTCCTCCTTTAGTTGTTCCCTTTTTTTTTTTTTCACTTTTTACAACCTCTTTTTTTTTTAACTTTTCTACTAATTTCAAATATTTCAGAGTTGTTTTTTTTTTCAACCATTTCTCCCCTACTTTATAATAATGCGAAGAAAAAAAAACTAAACATTGTTAATCCATTATTTTTTCTGTTCTAAGAAAAAAAAAAGAAAGAAAACGATTTGTAAAGATCACTTTAATAGCAAGAAAAAAATTGTAAAAAAAACAGAAAAGAAGCTTCTAATAAATTATAACATATAAATCAAATATACACTTTGTCAAAGATACAAACAACGAAAAAATCATTACAAAAAAAAAGAGAAAGAAAACAAAACAACAGATCAAAATAAGAAGAAAAAAAAAATTACAAACACATTTAAAAAACAGCAGTTTTTTTACATCTTTAATTGCCATCCAAATTTATTTCATCTTCACTTTTTTGTTGCTGTTTTTGCTGATACAAATTCAGCAGGTTTTCACCGTTTTCATTCGTCAACTTTTTTTTGTTCTCCCTCACTCAAGCAGTTAATGTCATATAATTTGAACAGGTAAAAAAAATTGACTAAAAAAGGTTTTTTTTTTCTTCCTTTTACTTTCTGATACAAAGAGGAGAAGAAAGATGAACAAACGAAAAACTTTCCCCTTCTCCAAATTTTATCCTACACTTTTCAACCAACAAAATCCCCTCCCTCCTCCCTTGCACCCGTAAAAATCTTCGTCCAAAAATTCTTCAAAACAGTCACCACTGAACCCAGTCACCGCAACAAAATGATACTAAAAAACTTTTGTTTTTTCCTCTCCTTCTCACTTATTTTCCTTTCTAATCTTTAGGGTTCTTTAAATTGGTGAAACAAAAGAAGGAGAACAAATAAAGCTGCGACAAAATTTTTATTTATCCTCTT